TTTTAAAGAAAATCACCAATGGTTTTCCTGGGTAAGATGCCAACTTACTAGCTGAAATAGCGTAGAGTCCTAAAAAAAAGCATTGAAACTTCAGTTTGGAATTTCACACTACTGCCGATTAATTTGTGGTCTATTTTTGTTCTTAATAATTGCTTGTAGTTGCTTTCTTTTTATTTTGCTTTCTGTATTTGCTTATATCCATTTCTATATTCGAGTACCTGAGGTTGATGCTGGTTTTAATATTTGCGTATGCTTGTGAAACACTTCTCGAGTTGCATTTTATTTAAGAAAACTGCTCTTCAAATAAAAAAATATATTATTATTATTATTATATTATTATTATTACCATATATTATTACTGAGCACCATATATCATTACTATTACTGAACACCATATATTATTATTAATAGTGAGCACCATATATTATTATTATAACTGAACACTATATATTTTTATTATTACTGAAAACAAAATATTATTATTATATTTATTATTGTTATTATTATTATTATTATTACTGAGCACCATATATTATTATTATTATTTTTATTATTATTCTTATTATTAAGCACCATACATTATTATTATTATTTTTATTATTATTATTATTATTATTACTGACACCATATATTATTATTACTGAGCACCATACATTATTATTATTATTATTATTATTATTATTACTGACACCATATATTATTATTACTGAGCACCATATATTATTATTATTATTATTATTATTGAGAACCATACATTATTATTATTATTATTATTACTATTATTATTTTTATTATTACTGAGCACAATATATTATTATTACTGAGCACCATATATTATTATTATTATTATTATTATTATTATTATTATTGAGCACCATACATTATTATTATTATTATTATTATTATTATTATTATTATTATTATTATTATTATTACTGAACACCATATATTATTATTACTGAGCACTATATATTATTATTATTATTATTATGATTGAGCACCATACATTATTATTATTATTATTATTGACACCATATATTATTATTACTGAGCACCATACATTATTATTAATATTATTATTACTGACACCATATATTATTATTACTGAGCACCATAGGAGTCCACTATATGAAGAAAAAAATCTTTGAATGTTTACTCCAAAACCTTAATTTCTTGAGGGAGGGAGGGAGGAAGGAAGGAAGGAAGGAAGGAAGGAAGGAAGGAAGGAAGGAAGGAAGGACGGAAGGACGGAAGGAAGGAAGGAAGGAAGGAAGAAAGAAAGAAAATTATAATTTAGTAAATGCTCAGGACATTTTCCTTCTGGAATGGAACTAAACCCTTCACTTAAAATAACGATTTTAAAATGTAAACAAAATCCAGATCTTTACCTGTATCAAAGCAAGTACTTTGTCCTGAACAATCGCGGGTGGGTTATTTTTGGGAGATATGATTTTCACCAACACGCCATCAATAAAGTCTCGGGTGGTGACAAGCATGTGGAAACGATAGCCACAGTTCTTTACACATGTCTCAAGAACCTGAAAATCAAAATAAACAAGACAATCTATAAATGATCCAAAGTTTGTAAGAACAAGTTTCCATTGTATGTTCCTCACCGTCAATGTAAGCATCACCTCCCTGTAGTTTTTATTCCCATTAAGCCTCTTCTTCACAGCTCTCATTGCATCCTTAGGCCTATTAATCAGATGAACAAGTTACAAAAAGCTTATCCATGCCGCTGAAAAAGCAAGTCATTAGTAAGTTTCAATGCCGGGATTTAAATCTAAAATTAATTTAGATAATGCTTACACCCCACTAATAATGTGAGAGTATATGATTGGCTAAGGACAGCATAGACAACTAACCTATATTCAAAAATACAGATATGTTTTCCATGACTTTTGCAAAATTCTGTGGGTTTTTCTGTTTTTCCAAAACTTTTCCAGGCCTGGAAAATGCCATGTCAAAATGCCATAACTTTTCCAGGTTTTTCATGACCGCATAAACCCTGTAAACATTTTTTTTTGAACAACAAGAAAATATGTTGTGCTACAAAAAGTTCTGGTTTGTCTAACAAAATACACAGAATGGTTGTTTAAACAACAACAACAAAAAATTGCAACATATGCATGCACTTTTTAAATGATTATTATTTTATGTAAGCACCAATATGAATGACGTCTTGTCTTTGACCCAACAGCCAGAACTTTATTGAATAAAATTTAATTTTTGATCAGCCTGTTAAATGATATAAACCATGAATCTTTCATGTCTTACCCATCTTCTGTTTCATTGATTATGTCACATATTTCCATATTCAAAGTCCAGTCTTCACTTTGCAGGGAGCCATCTGTGGCCCTTTCTAGGGAAGAGCAAAAGGTAAACTGATAAGGTTACTGCCCAGCAGAATCTGGAGTGACATCGGCACTGATGACATCGCACTGAACTGCAAACTCCTGTCTAATACGTGATGCTGGTTCTCCTCCATTGCTTGCAGTCATTTTCCCTATACAGACTGGCCATTTATAACAACAGTATGAATCATTTACACAGATTACTTCAGGCTTTAGCTATGAAACTGGGTGTGAGAAATAATCGCAGTGTACACTTGCTAGCAGGCTAATTCCAGCTGCTAATTAAGAGTAGTTCTTCATCTTTCTTAAACTCAGCTTTTTTTACCTAGCTAGAATCGCGTTGAATAATTTAGCCATTTGCTTTGTTAAAAAACACATTGAGAGTTATCTGTTAGAGCAGTTAGCATGAATGAGCATTAGCCGTTAGCCAGCTAACTGACTGGCTATCCATGTTGAGCTTTGCTTTGAAGTGGCCTCAACAAAATACATTTCTGCAGGAGCTTACTTGCAACAGCACAATTTTGATGTATGATTTAATATCTGATAAACATACCAATGCAGTGTCCCACCGGAGTACTATATGGGTTTCCCAGCAAGAACTCCATCTTGTCAACATACCCATCGACTAACACTCAATGAGACGGTAAACACAAAAGTCCCGCCCCCGGACGATCCTCATTGGTCGCTTAATTCAGGACAGCGCAGGTATTAGCCGAACACACAGTATGTCATTGGAATGACACGCCAGCTAATTAAAGGGACAGTAGTGATTCCGTTTACGTGACTTTGCTTGATTATCACAGGTACGTTTGATATTTTATGGCACATACGGTGTTTACGTTATGGATTAGATTGTGATTCAGACTATGCACTTAGGTCAACCGATGTTTTAATGTGACTTTGATCTTAAAGGGAGAGTTCGGCCAAAATGAAAATGTCTGGTTTTACTCATTCTCAAACCATTCAAGATGTGTTTTTTAGCTGGGTATTAAAGATTTTAAGGATTTTTTTTGGTCCTTTGTAGTTTTGTAGTTATAACACCACTTTATAAAACCTCAAAGTTTAATCAGGAGCCACAGGCATCAATTTAGTTTAGCCCATATTGGGGGTAATGCACATGTAGCGTGAGTTACGTAATAATATTACTTTTCTTAATAACGAGTAAAGTAAGGCATTACTAAAAAAGTAAGAACATTTGAGAAACTTTTTAATTCATTTAAATAGCTCTTTAACCCCCCCTTTTTTCATAAACATTGCGCCTCCTTACTACAAACCATTTGAGTTAAAAAACTAAGCCAAATGAGTACTGTGAACTTAATCCATTTGACTAAAAGACTCAAACCAACTGAGTACTGTAAAACTCAATAAGTTAAGTCAACTCAAACCGTTTGAGGAAACCGATTGCAACAAAGCATTTAAGTAAAAAAACATATATAAAAAATTATATTAGAAAAAAAACAAATCCGTATGAGTACTGTGAACTTACTCTAAGTTGAAGTATTTAATTAACTTATTACCTTCAACAATAAGTTCAAAACTCTTCAAATGAGTAAAAATAACTAACTGAAATTTTGAGTTAACTACACTTATTTAATTTGATAAAGTGAATAGAGCTCTGTGTGATAAAGTTAATTAAAAATATTTTTATGTGAACATTTTTAGAGGTAAATGTAGCTGTAAGAAAGAAACAAACATGTTCTGAAAGAGATCAAGCCTCAGCCAGGTAATAAAAAGTAACGCAAAAATTGCTTAAATGTAATGTAACGTATTAACATAAAAAGTAACACAACTAGTTACTTTTTATTCATTACTCAATATTGTAACGCATTACTTTCTAAAGTAAATTTCTCCAACACTGGTTTTGCATACATACTGCATATATACATACATATATATATATATATATATATACATATATATATATATATATTTTTTTTTTTTTTTTGACGATCAGTGTTTGTAACTATTAACTTGCTTGTTATAAATCACCGGTTTTAGCTGAAAATTTTTGTACTGAAGAAAACAAAGCTATAAATCTAATGGCCTGAGGTGGAATACAATTTACTTTTTTTTTTTTTTTTTTGTATTACTTGTGGCCAGTTTTACCAGATTTCTCAGAGTGGAATGCTGAATGGGAACTGTATGAATCTTGTCCCTGCTAGCTAATGTGTTTTGAATACATTCTGACTTACTTTTGTAAGTTAAATGTAATGGGTGAGGCATCAGTTTATTTAAAAAATGTTTTACAGATTAATTGAGGTTTATTTGAGATTATTTGTTCATTCAGGTTTTTAAATTGCTTTAACTATAGTAAATCACAGACACCAGAACTAGCCTGACAGCACAGGCCCTGTCTTGACTAACTACACATTCTTCAATACAGAATTGTGAAATAAACTGACATGTTTGGCTGCAATTGATTTATGTTATTTTTCATGTGACAGACAACTTTACTAGTGCTCAGCAATTAACCATTTTCGGAAATGTTAAATGAGGCACAATTTTTATCTTTTTTTTTAATTGGAAAACTAAAAATGGAGCAGAAATCTAGTACTATCTCCGGAATAAAAAGAAATGCCTGGTCACTCTATTTTTGGGAGGACTATTTCATTTTGTAACTGTGTAGGAAAAAAGTCGTAGACACAATTAGATGTTTGTACTTTGTAATTTATTAAAATGTTTCTTTCTTTTCCCCAACATACAGTTTAAACATTTACATCTTTGAAATTGAGTTTGAAATACTGGGTTTTAGCATTTACAGTGTTTCCATGTGATAGCTGTTGACACTATAAATACATATCATGACCTTAGAAATCTGTATTATTTCTCAAAACATAACTACTGGTTAGATAACTAGTGTCACTGTAAAAACAAAAACAGATAACAATTCCCAAAGTTTCAGACCCACACAGTCTATTTTTGGCATTATCAGTCTTGTAAGATTTTTTTCTTCACAGATGTTTTTTCAGATGACAGATGCACAAACAATGCACCAGCCGCCGTTCGCGCTCTCAGCTCATACATGTCATAATCATGGACCCACTCCACATTTCCCCAGCTCCGAATCTAAGACAGAACACAATGTATAGTAATTATTACCACAGGAACAATATGGTCTCAATCTTAAAAGTAATTTAATCAAAATACCTGGTATTCTTCCTCAAGTCTGGACAACAGAACCGCTTCTTCCACATTTAGGTGTCTGTCAATCAGCGCAAAGGACAAAACCAGCGACTTCAGCTGATTGATCACAAACTCAAGCCCTGAGGAAAAATCAAGCACATTCACATAAGATTTACACAAAGTCTATTGTAAACAAGCTCATTTACATGAGATACAAAGAACCAACGTACCTGTCAGAGACCAGAAGTTGAAGGAATTAAGGTGCTGATGAAATGTCTCTTTAGTCTCTTCTGGGATTTGAGGGCCCATTATATTGGAGGACGAGCCAATGACTACATTGTACCTAAAAACAACAGTACGTTCTTATATACCAGTAAATTGTAACTTTTTGTAATTAGTACACAATCAAAACTCTGACCAAAAATCTGTCAATTTTACCTTTGTTCAATCCAGTTCATCACAGGGTCCCATTCATTTGTCTGAAGTTCCACAAGGCCTGGAGGTTCTTCTACTCTGTAACTGCAAAGCGAGGTACAATTGATGTAATGAAACCTTAAAACCATCAGCTGATGCATAAAGGAAATACTATACCTAATCAGTAAGCATACCAGATAGTGTCTGTTTCCAAAAACTTCAGAGCGGCAGAGATCATCTGTTCTTTTGTCCTTTGTGTTGGATTATCAAGAGCAGTGTTACAAAGGGTGGTCTGTAGGGACAGAAATCAGTCTATTAGATTCTGCTATTCACTTAACATTATGAATGTTGGGAATACTGGGAATGAATGTACTATCAGAATATACACACACTGATTTTATATGTACTTGTGACAATGTTTTAGATGCATTATCCATTAGTATTTAATAATAAATATCTTTATTTAACCAGGTAAATCAATTAAGAGAACCAATTCTCATCTAATATGACAACCAGGTGAAGAAAAAAGACACATGCAAATAATAACATATAAAAAAAAACGAGAAAAAAAAAAAAAAACTAGGAGCAAATGCAAATATCTTTAACTACATAAAAGGTCAGTTCACCCCAAAATGAAAATTATGTTATTAATAGGGTGGAACCGATTTGGAATTTTTGACCGACAACAATAACCGATAACTATTTAGAATGGGGTATATGCACACAATCTTTTAATTTCAGCCTAACAGGGCCTCCGTCTTTCCATTATAAAGTTGCCATGTTTGAGGTCAGTTTTTTTGTTTGTTTTTTAATCAGTGACCTTCACTGCCTGATAGATATAGATATATGAGTCTCAGACAAAAAGCACTGCGTTAAATTATATTCCCCCGTCATATCTTTAAAACATAACAATTAATTTCACCCCAGTATAGGAGTTTCTGCGCTCGCCTGCTGATCCTGATGGCGCTAGCGGTTACACAATCTTTCATCTTGTTTTATGGTTGAACAACTAAATGAATGCTTGTGCTGTATTTAACTGAATGTTTTGTCATCAATGCATCGATAGTGTAAAACATTGATGCTGTAAAAGGAACCTTATGAAAATGAAAAGTCACATTAAGCTTTTTCAAAATGAAATGTGCATCTTGGCGTTTTCATCAACCGGTTTTCTATGCGCATATTGCAAAATTACCATAAAAATAAGTGGATGGAAACATAGATGAATGAATAGGAAAAGACACAATATGCAGACATTTTTTGCAATTTCTGCAGAGATTGATTTTAGGAGTATCATAACTACAAACATTAATATATTAAATAAAAAACAACACATTTTTTTTTACTTTTATTTAATGTTTACAGTGCAAATCCAATTGCATCCACCTATTTGGTAAAGAAAGCAATACATCATATACCTACAAAAAGACAATATTACATTACTAACTGTATTGTTAATAAATCATATGAACATTTTAATAGTACTATTATTATAACACAATAATATTAGTGAAATTAATAAAAAAAAACGAAATAAATATAAATTCACACACAATTAAACAAGTGAATACAGTAAATACACCGAATGATGGGCTAAAGATCTGCGGAAATCTGCAGATTTCTGTACACGCATATTCCGTGTGGGCCTACTAATGAGGTGATAAACCGCTGAATGAAGTAAGTATTTTTGCTTTAAGTGTGCACAAAAGTACATTGCTGTCTATATGAAGGGTAAGTGAGCTCTCAGATTCCATCCAAAATATCTTAATCTGTGTTCCAAAGATGAAAGAAAGTCCCAGAGTATTGTTGTTGACCAAATTATAATTTTTGGCTGAACTACCGCTTTAACTGAATAGAATTTTTAAATGATTAAAATAGAATAAAAAAAAAACTAAGCTTTCAGTTTTATTTAAACCTTAAATCTGTACTTTTTAGGGGGTTCTTGAATGGAATCGTCTGCAGCAGAAAATTAAAAAGAAAAAACACCTAAAAAAGTACAGATTTTGGGTAATAATAATAAAGGTACTACTCTTGTAGACTTGTAATACTGTAAGTTTCAGTTCTGAAGAGTGTATAAAAATATGTGTTCCATGCTACTATGTATGTATTATAGATACATTTGAATGTACTCTGTAGACAGTTGTAGAATACAACTTTCAAATATACTAGTAGTACTTGGGAAACCAAAATATAGTATAATAATAATAATATAATATAAATTAATAATAATATCCTACCAAGTGCATAGTGTAAAACTTCAATGTGTCCTTTTGAACGTCCCACTCATTTGCAACAGCAATGGCAAGAGCTTCATTGGGAACTGTGAATAGTTTTCCACTTGGGGTCTTCAGCTTTCTCTTATCAAGGTTTATTTCAAACAAGCCACCTATAAACAAGAAAATCTGTGTTTTCATATGAGCAAACCCTCGATCTTCTTCATTGAAAACATGTTTCTTTTAAGGTGCTGCTATGGCCATCAGTACTGAATGATGCTCACCTTCACCTTGAGTTATAGATACAGTCTCGTAGAACTTTTTCCTCTCTGCAAAACACAATGCAAGTACAAAGATATTAATATATTTGTTTATCATTTTAAGTTATTTTTTCTTTTTATATCTTACCTGCTGTAGCACTGCTATATTTAGCCTTTTGTAGCTGTGTTGATAAACTGGGAACATGCTTCACGTAAGAAAATGAAAACGGCCAAATAATTGCCTGGCCAAACTTTGTGTGATACCGACATATATTTCGTAGCATGTTTTAAACGTTATGTGTGTAAATTTGTATTTGTATTGACGCCACAGTTTAGGCGTGATAAGCCATTCAGTCAAGGTTAAAAAGCCGGATCTGGTGTTATATCAAATTTGACAAAGCATTTTTCATGTTTTAATCGTATAAATTACAAGAAATGAGTATATCTGAGATAAACTCAATTATTCAAGCAAATACACTAGAAGGTATTTAAAGGCATGCAGCAAAATGAAAACAGCGTGCCGTAAAGTGGACTGACGATGACCTAAACAGGAAAAACCATAGAGGATAATTCATAATAAAAGTCCATAGCTATATAAATATCTATGAGAAAAGTCCAACATTTCGAACATTCATTTAGCGCCAAACTTTCAGAATGGGTTACCAGGGACAAAAGAGAGTGATATACCTATTAAAATATTTTGATTTTATTAATTAAAAATAGCAATTGAATAATTAAAAAGATTAAAATAATTCTATATAGTTTTTAAATAATAAGCACACATTATAATACAAAATAAAAAAGAAACAGAAACAAATTGATAAAACAGCATAATAATTAAACGATTATTAAATATTTAATAGCATACAATACATTATTATATTTTAATTAAATAAAATAAAATAATAAATTATATATCAAAATAAAATAAAACAAAAAATAATATAATAATAAAAATATTCAGTTGTTAAATTTGTTTCAAATCATTAACTTCAGGTAACTTCCTTAATTTTTTTAACAAAAATGTTTATGTTTTAATGTGGGGCCAATGATATTAAAATGTTTGTGGCATCTAAAAGTTGGGCGGGAAAGTCCTGCTCTAAATATTAAAAATGAACATAGCTTTAAATAACTTAAACTATTTGTTAAAAATGTTATTCTTAAAAACATTTTTTTGAATATTTAAATGAATATATTAGTGAATATTTATATGTTGCTACTATAAACTGGTTTATTCACCTTTCTTTTGCTTCAGTTTTATTATCTCTATCTTATATGTTTTTTTTCTTTCTTTCTTTCATTAATTTGTTGGTTTGTTAAAACATGGAAAAAATTACACAATTTATGGAGCAGACATTTACATTACACTTAGTTATTACCTAGTTATGTATCTACTGTGTACAAGACAAATGCAAAAAGAATTAAATAATATCTTGTTTTAAAATCCTTATGTTTATTATCAGTTTGTTCTTCTTATTTAATTTATTTTATATATTCTAGAGAAAGAGAGAGAAATAAATAAATCAAATAAAAAGAAAAATAATACATAAAATAAAAATCATTAATTTCAAGTATACAAAAACCCTCCAGGGACACACATGAGTTGATGGGGCAGCAGTAGGGTGAACTGATCTAAGGAACAGCATAGCGCCCTCTTTTGGTTGTGTTTCTGATTTGTTTGATTGTCCTCTGTTCTTCAGCATGATAAAAACATTTCATTATCAACATTAACTAATTCCACAATGAATATATATATATATATATATATATATATATATATATATATATATATATATATATATATATATATATATATATATATATATATATATATATTGGCCTATATATTAGTGAAATAGACTAAAGAATCTAAAAAGGATTATATTTTTCTTTTGAAATATCACAGATTTCAACAAAATATGAATAAATGAGAGACATAAATTGAAACATAAGTCTATAGTTTATCTATAGAGTAGTCTATACATGTAGCCTACAACACATTACAATATACATAGACCTACTGTATGTTTAGTTCATGTGTTGTGAGTTGAAAGTTTTGTGTGGAGTTTGCATGTTCTCCTCCCCTTGTTCGCGTGGGTTTCCTCTGGATGCTCCGGTTTCCCCCACAAGACCAAATTGGGAAAAGTGAATTGGGTAAGCTAAAATTGTCCCAGGTGTATGTGTGTAAATGAGTGTGTATAGATGTTTCCCATTGATTGGTTGCAGCTGGAAGGGCATCCATTGCGTGAAACATATGCTGGATGAGTTGGCGTTTCATTCAGCTGTGGCGACCCCAGATTAATAAAGGGACTAAGCCAAAAAGAAAATTAATGAATGAGGGTTTTGGAGAGGGTGCTCGCTGCAGAGCCATTTGAGGAGAGCTGAGCTCCAGCGAGGGGGAGCATGAGCTGTCGCTCCTCCTCCTGTAAGCTGTTTTAATGCGTACACCAACCCCACCCCTAACCCTACCCCCAGTGACATCACTCGTAGAAGAAGTGCAAAAAAGGTGGAGCTCAAGCTTAAGCTCCCCCTTGCTGGAGCTCAGCTCTCCTCAAATGGCTCTGCAGCGAGCACCACTTGGTTTTTTGGGGGGAAATTTACTTTCTGTTTATTGTGGAAGAGAACACAGTAAACATCTGAAACTTGAACAAAAGTCGAATCAATTATTTCCCCAATAGTATCTGGATACAGTCTTGGATATGCCCGTTTAGACACGTAGTTTCAGACATGCAGTCTCAGACACAATGCACTCAATAGAGCTAGTGACGTCACTGTGAGGGTTATAGGTTGTGTTAGGTGTGCGCATTAAAACAATATGGTACTACACGTTAGAAACATTCATTCATTCATTTTCTTGTCTGCTTAATCCCTTAAAAGCTAAAAAACATACGAAGAATTATGTAAATTTTATTTGATTAAATAATATATATATATATATATATATATATATATATATATATATATATATATATATATATTATTTTTTTTACCTCTGTCATCTGTTTGTACTTTGATTGTATATAATTTCTCTCATTTTTATTTTTTGTTTTATCCGTTCATAATTGTTGTGAGACGTATGTTCTTGTACTAAGTTTGTGCATATTTACAATAAAAATAAAAAAGGTGTGCGCATTACAGTGAAAGCATTGCATAAAGCTCAGCTTGAATTTGCTGACTTATTAACATTAGTTTTCATTGTTAATGTTGATAATTGATGACATACTGTAGTCCCACATAGTTATACAGTAGCTCAACATCAAACACTAAATCAATAAAAATGGCACACTATATTCCAAATGTTTCCATTACAATTATTTTATTTTCAAAGAAATAAATACTCTTACTTACTTGATACATCTGATCAAAAGTGACAGAAAATATTTACAGCTACAAATAATGAAAATTTCACATAAATTATACTCTTTAGAATTATTCATGTATTAAAAATCAATTTTGTCAACTGTCCAAATGTCTAGATATGTTAATGCAGAAAACAAAACAATGATCAATATGCAGCATTTGTACATAAATGTATAATATATAAACAGAGCTAATTCCCCATAACCATTGTGCACAAATCTCTACTTCATTACAATATATGAACATAAGAAATGCGGCACGGTGGTGCAGTGGGTAGCACAATCACCTCACATCAAGAAGCTCACTGGTTCGAGCCCCGGCTGGGTCAGTTGGCATTTCTGTGTGGAGTTTGCAAGTTCTTCCCGTGTTGCCGTGGGTTTCCTCCGGGTGCTTTGGTTTCCCTCACAGTCCAAAAACATGCGCTCTAGATAAATTGAATAAGCTAAATTGGCCGTAGTGTATGTGTGTAAATGCAGGAGTGTATGGGTGTTTTCCAGTGATGGGTTGCAGCTGAAAGGGCATTTGCTGCATAAAACATACGCTGGATAAGTTGACAGTTCATTTCGCTGTGGTGGCCCCTGATTAATAAAGGTACTAAGCTGACAGAAAATGAATGAATGAGTGAATGAACATAAGGAAAAAGGAAATGCCATCAAACTTTTCCCAAGAGAGTCAGCACCCTTACAATTCTACATTCATAGTTCATCATTACATCAATGTATTTTCCCTCAGCACAATATCTTCCTCCATATTGTCACACAAAAAACCCCAATGTGAGCCAGTTACTAACAGCCTAATGCTGGACAGTGCTTAAATGTTTAAATAATGCATTTAAATGAATGATCATTATGAAGAAATGGGAACCCTTTAAGATTCTGATTTTACTTTATTACTTTTTACTGCCACTGTATTAGGCACACCTTACTAGTACCGGGTTGGACACACTTTTGCATTCAGAACTGCATTCAGAATCAATTGTTGTATAGATTCAGCAAGGTGCTGGAAATATTCCTCAGAGATTTTGGTCCATATTGACATGATAGCATCACGCAGTTGCTACAGATTTGTCAGCTGCACATATATGATGAGAATCTCCCATTCCAGCACATCCCAAAGATGCTTTATTGGATTGAGATATCGGGACTGTGGAGTCCAATTGAGTACAGTGAACTCATTTTCAAGTTCAAGAAACCAATCTGAAATGATTCGAGCTTTATGACATGTGATGTAATCCTGCTGGAAGTAGCCATCAGTAGATGGGTACACTGTGATCATAAAGGGATGGGCATGGTCAGCAACAGTCCTCAGGTAGGCTGTGGTGTTGAAACGATGCTTATTTGGTACTGATGGTCAATGCTCAAAGTGTGCCAAGAAAATGTCCCCCACACCATAACACCACCACCACCTGCCTGAACCGTTGATACAAGGTAGGATGCATTCATGCTTTAATGCTGTAATGGCAAATTCTGACATCCGAATGTTGCTACAGAAATCAAGACTCATCAGGCCATGCAATGTTTTTCCAATCTTCTATTGTCCAATCTTCTAACTGCACCATTATTTTCCTGTTCTTACCTGACAGGAGTGGCACATGGTGTAGTCATCTGCTGCTGTTGTCCACCAACTTCAAGGTTCGACTTGTTGTGAGTTTAAAGATGCTCTTCTGCATACCTTGGTTGTAACAAGTGTTTTTTTGAGTCACTTTTGCCTTCCTATCAGCTGGAACCACTCTGGCCATTCTCCTTTGACCTCTGGCATCAACAAGGCATTTGCGCTCACAGAACTGCCGCTCACTAGATATTTTCTCTTTTTGGACCATTCTCTGTAAACCCTAGAGATGGTTGTGTGTGAAAATCCCAGTAGATCAGCAGTTTCTAAAATACTCTGACCAGCCCATCTGGCACCAACAACCATACCACATTCAATGTCATTTAAATCATCTTTCTTCACAATTCTGATGTTCAGTTTGAACTGCAGCAGATCGTCTTGACCATGCCTACATGCCTAAATGCATTGAGTTACTGTTACAGTATGTGATTGGCTAATTAAAGGTTGCGTTAACAAGCAGTTGGACATGTGTACCTATTAAAGTGGCTGGTGATTGTATGTACTAGTTAGCTGCCAGTGGAAAGGTGTTTATTGTACCATTCTGATAAGATGATTGCTAG